TATGCATAACAAGAACAAATCAGATCTGAAAAACCGATACAATATGTTGACTGAAGCTGAGCAGTCACTGCGTCGTGCGGCAGTCGTACGAATTCTCCTCCCGTTGAGCGCTGGACAACGCAGCGCCATTTGTGGGGTCCGCCTGAACAGATTGCCATTAAAAGCGATTTGTTGTGCGCCCATCGTGGCGCTACGTTCTCCGTAGAATCGCTTTCCCGACGACCACCATGCGCAGCAAGTGCCCGGCTTAACCTTGAATGTTGTCTTCAGTTTACGATGGAAGTTCTTTGTTTGCAGTTGATACAATAATTATGTTTATTTTTATTAACATTATATAACTGTAATTTTTATAATATAAAAATAAATAATAATATGACTGTTGTTATTAAAGGTCAAGCTTACAAATTGGATGAAATGGCACCCCACCACCATTCTCTTTGCAACAGCACATGGGGACATTAGACATAACATTAATGTTCAAGTATTCATCCTACCCACTAGTTCTCTTTCTGCCACACCTCAAAAATATCTTTTGAAATTATTGTTATAACCCTATGTAGACGCAAGAGTCCTATCACAATTCTTTAATTTCTATGGATAAGAACCCTCTTTTGACGTATTTACAAGATATAATTCTACTTCAAAGACATTTTAAGCAGATGTTAGAACATGCTACCATTTTGTGTTACAAACATTCTGCTAAACAGTAGATTTTACTAATACAAGAACCCACATGACAATGAAGTAAACATTCTTAAAACGAATCAGAACAGCGTCTCCTGCAGTGATGGCTCAGAAACTTGCCGTCAGGGGTCCGACGTGTCTGACAGGCTCAGGGGTCAGGAATATGTGATGTAGTTGGATTTACTGTATATAATGCCTTATTCCAAAGTCTCAAAGCATTCGAGGTGGGAACTAGCTCGAGCAATAACTTAATGCTCCCTTAAGGGTCTCTTCGTGTCTGAGCTGGTAAACCAGTACTAGCTATCTCTCGTTTGTCACAATCTCTATTAGGGATCATAAGAAGTGTCTTTATATTGCTGAGAATTGTGCTTTAAAGATCAAAAATAGGGATTGACAATCAAAATAATGTTACTTGGATAAGCAAATTAATATTCTTGGGCCGACGACGTCAGGTCTGTCCAACGGAGGAAAATTTACCCGATTCACTGCTGACCTCACCACCTGTAGTCTGTTTTGATCCAAATGAGCTAATCAGTAGATAATAAATCATTATTTTCATGAATGTTAGTTTGCACGAAATATATAAGCGGGCATAATTATGACTAAAAGGATAATTTTAAAAACTTTTTATTATGAGAATTTCAGTGGCAGATTCAAGATGCCCAGCCGGCCCACCATCCCTTTTTTTTCCGAAATTTAAAAGTGGAGAAAACTGAAAATTATATTCCAATTCAGTCTGAGAGTGCCATTTCCGACCAACTAGAGGTGCCATAATCATAACCATAATCTCCGGTCTACAATCTCTACCTGTAAATGTCGTTCTCTGGGCCCAGCTCTTTGAAGAGGATTAAGAAAGTAGTAATAATCCAACTTAAAGTGTCAATTTGGGAGTCATTTAAATTTATGATGTCCCAGACCTAAACGTCACTAAGACTTTATTAATGTGTCTAAAGAACACTTTCTATAATATTTTTTTAAGATTTAAGAAATGATTTTTGTGACGATTCGGAGAAGGGTGTGGATATGAACACCGTTCGAAGGGAAACGTCCTAGACCAGATATAAAAAAAAAGATCAGCTCAAATGATTGACACTTTCGGGAAAGTTTAATAAACTTACAAGGAAGAAATTATTATGTGTTGGCGAAGATCCAGTTTAGGGTGAGGGTCCTTTTAATTTCTGACGTCGCAGAAACCAACCTAGATAGTTACATCCCACCGCACCTATTCATGAGATAAATGTAAACTTACATGTAAATTTATCTTAAATATAATGGTGTTGGAAACAACACGGAAGTTCCGATATAGGAGTATTTCAGTTTAATCAAATCTATTATTTCATTTAAAAGTTCGTATTAAAAAAAATACAACAAAATGAGGAAGTTGGCAAAGAATGGTACACCCAAATACACAAAATACCATATATATTTCAAAACAATAGCAATGATACAATTGTATCCATGTACAGATTAGCTTTAAGAATGTGAGCAAAAAATAAAATAAAATAAAATAAAAACAAATAAAAAAACAAAACCAAAAAAAAGCAAATCCACAAATGTTAATACAAATTTGGTAAAATCACAAACAACATAGCTGTCATCTATAAAAAAAAAAATAATAATAAAAAATTAAAAAGAAAATTTCCCTTAGTTAATTTTTTACTGATTCTTATCGTTTACATTGTAAATAAGATGAAGAACACTAAAGCTATCAACTGTCTGAGCAACAAAATATTTGTCCCTATATCATTCTATGTATATATTCCAATATAGTTTTTTAAAAAAACTCTACACATATGTTATTTATATAGTTGAGAAAATAAGCGTCACTATTGATAGCTAGGTAAAATTGATATATGTTTCCAAGGCTTCATATTATTAATTGGCCAACATATTAGTTCATTTATGACGTCTTATCACAGTACTCAACAAAATGTCAATGAATTGTTATACTCGTGATTCTCCAATTCCTTAACTGACACCCCTATTGTTTATAGAGACATCTATATTTAAATTTATGAGACATTTCTGTCTTTACATTTCTTTTATTTTTGCTAAATATTTTATATAAAAGCTATCATCGTTCTCCTTTATATCTTCATTATCCCTTAAATCTTCGCACGTCTGGTTCTTCTCGCTTTAATCTTCATTCTCCCTTAAGTCTTCGTACGTCTGGCTCTTCTCGCTTAAATCTTCATTCTCCCTTAAATCTTTGCACGTCTGGTTCTTCTCGCCTAAATCATCATTCTCCCTTAAATCTTCGCACGTCTGGTTCTTCTCGCCTAAATCATCACTCTCCCTTAAATCTTCGAACGTCTGGTTCTTCTCGCCTAAATCGTCATTCTCCCTTAAATCTTTGTACGTCTGGTTCTTCTCGCCTAAATCATCATTCCTGTCTGCCTGCTCAATAATTGTCATATTGATCTACAAAAAAGAAATATGAAAAACTCAAATTGACTTTTAATTACACTTTTTTGATTTTGAATATTATAATTTTTTTTATATTCCCACTACCTGGCACCAGACAAAAACCCATAAATCGTCACCGTTTTCACGAAGAGACACAAACTTCAATTTTGACTAAAAAAAGGTTTTGAAAAAAATTACGTTTGACGTGGACTACATTTCCCTATCAAGATATGGAAATTTTGAATATTTTTTTTTGCATGTGTAAAGATATATATTACACAATTTAAATGTTCAATATATTTTTTTCATTTCTTAGCTTTACCATTATTATGTAAATTAGCGTTACAAAATTGTGTCCGTTCATTATAAAGATAAAAATATACCCAGCATAGGTTGTTTACACCAGCAACACCTACAGCAATGTTAGTGTCTCTTTGTGAAAATAAAAATCTCATTTTACGCGCTGTACGCGCTCCGTTCCGTTGTCGGCAGACACAAACTTTGTTTTTGCCAATGTTTTTCCATTGAAATCAAGGGTGATTATAATAGGCCTAAAACTAGGTTTATCCCACTGAAACTAGTATGCTTTTACTAATAATTCCACACTTGATCCATGTGTATAGGCCTTTTGCAGGTTACTGCAAATTGGGTACCGCTATGCCTAGGAAATTAGTGAATTTAATCTTTACGGCTAGCCCTACACCAGACAGGCCTCATTGACCTGATCACAACGTTAGCAACGCAGCACACGCGTCTTCTGATAACCCTTTGAAAGTTTGTGTCTCTTCTTGAAAACGTTTTCCTCTGTTAGTGCGCTATGGCTAATTGGCTTAATTAACATAATAGTGTAGTTGCACACTTAACAGGCAGGTGAAAAGTTAAGAGTTCATATTTTTAAAAAAACAACGTAACCAACAACAACATAACAGCGTAACGGCGTTAAAACTTAAAATTAAACTAACACCGCTTTCATTGTGACCCTTTCGGCCAATCTTATAATTACGGCGTTTTTAAACAAAAAAAATTAAACGGCGCATATAATATTGCCCTTTCGTTCGGCGCTGTTTAAAGCTTGTGATTGTTTGGAATTAAACAACGTAACGGCGTAAAAAAGACAATGGCGTTTTCATTATGGCCTTGATGGCTAACCATACAAAGCAGCACGTGCGTCTTTTAATAAACTTTGAAAGTTTGTGTCTGTTCTTAAAAACAAAATTTCCATTGTTCCCGGTTAGTAGGCTATTGCTAATTAGCTTAATTAACTGTATAGTGTAGTTGCACACTTAACAGTTAGGTGAAAAGTTAAAGTTCATATTACATAATCTAAATGTCAAAAGAAAAAAAAAAGAAAAAATATGATTTTTGAAGTTTGTGTCTCTTTGTGGTGTCGGTGACGCAATGTGAAGTCTTTGAAAATAGACCGAAAATGGTTAATACTCTGATGCTTTTTCAAAGATAGTTAAGGATAAACCACAAATGTTTTTCTACTGGTTCTGATCCTCACACCATAGATTCGATTGGCACTCTCGCCACACAACCGACCAAAAATTGTGGATCCGCCAGCCACTTTAATACCCACTTCAACAGTTATAAAATATCTCACCTCTGATCGGTCTTCATTTTCTGTCAGTCTTGTTGCCTTTACAAACAATGCATAGTTGTCAAAAATATGTTTTTAAATAATTTATCTCATTCGAAAACAACATAACAACAAAATACAAACTTTATAGATTTTATCAGTTTTATAGAAAAATATTTATTAACGCACATTTTGAGTTGTAAACGCTAATGTTTACTATGTCTTTCTCTAGATTACTGTATTTATGGCGTCCTTAATTATAGGAAGAACCTAATGTCCAATGGAAAAAAAATCAAGAGGATAGCTTATTTGGTAAAGCAGCCAAGCCGTAAATGTATTCGTTTGGTTTAGAAACTTTATGAAAACAGTCAAAACAAAACAAACAACAATTTTAAACAAAATCTAATCATTGTATCATGGTGGTAGTATTTAATCTATGCTAACCTGAAATCTGAATAGATACTGACACAGAACCTCACTGGGCTAATATGCGTGACGGCAGAGTGCGTCTCGATCTGCAGGCTATTAGTTTACATTTATTTACCTATAGTTTTATTTATTAATATAATAATGCTAGAAAACGATTTTGTGTACAAAACAAAAGGTATATAATTTGATTTAGTGCTTCAACAAGGGGATCCAACAACTGATGTCCAGGCAGCGTATACGCAGAAACACACTGGCAGATTCGAATTAACAGTAGCTTCTGTTCCGATCTAGTGTCTCAGGAGTCAGGAAGTACTTAGGAAAATAAATACACACACACACAAACAATTATTAGACTTGGGGTACCCCTTCACACCCAACTAGTTCGAAAAACGTTCCTGCTCGTTCTGACAATTTCATGAAACGGGATGAAAACGGGTTCAAACGTGCAATTTTTTCTTTTACTACAACACAACACAGTTTGAAGTAAGTCCATGACGACTGCAGACGGTTTGTAGAACGTTCGCACAACGTTTAAAATGGGAAGATTACGCACAATGTCGTTTGTAGTCCGTTCTTAACAAGTTCCAATCCGTCCTCAACCTGTTTAACCCCGTTCACAGTAAGTTTCAACCTGTTCTAGGACGTTTCCATTCAAACCAATTTATGCCCAGTCTTGCCCGTTTTCACTGCGTTCTCAGGCACATTCAGAACGGGGATCTGGGTCATGTTCCAGTCCGATAGGCTGTAATACGACCCATATCTAGCCCGTTCTCCTCATTTCGATTCAGTACTTGCTATAGTTAAACATGCCAAGGAAACAGAAGAGGCAAGGGAGAGGAACCTCAAAGAATTACAAGTCACTTATGATTTTCCTGCTGATGACGATGCTGGCCCATCTACTCCTGCTGCTGATAAAGACAAAGAGGAGGAAGCTCTAGGGAGTGAGGCACCATCATCACCTCATTGTGAAAATGATGAAGCAGAATCACAGATTCAACAGGGCAAGAAAAGAAGGTCAAAAACACTGACACACCATGGTAAGATAATATAACAATAACAATTCAGCCAGAGAGTTGATTTCCAAAGGAGGGAGCATCATTGATCTGCACTATTTGTAACAAAAGCTTTGCTGATTCGACTGCAAACGGGGTGGACGTAGTTAATATGTATTAGAAACGAGTACATCTGACTAAAAACGGATTGAACGTACTGACAATGTAATAGAAACGAGTAGATCTTACTAAAAGCGGACTGAACGTAATGACGATGTAGTAGAAAGGAGTAGATCTGAATAAAAACTCAGCAAGAACATTTTAGAATTGAATAGCAACGTATCACAAACGTATAAATTGGTTAATACAGCTTAAGAACGCAGTGAAGACGTAATGGAATGTAGTTAGGTCGGCCTGAGAACGGGCAAGACGGGATGGAACTTAACAGCTTCTGTGTTGGATCGTACTCCTATTTTTCCCCGTTCGCACGACGTTTAGCTCGTTTTTGGCCCGTTCGTTCCATGTTCGCAGTACGGCAATTCCGTTTTCAGTACGGCAATCTCGTTCGAAATACGACCTTACTCAGTCCTATTTTTGACCGGGTAGAACGCGATCAAATTTTAAACATGGTTGACGTTCTGGACCACCATTTCCGTCCTTGCCCGTTCATACCGTTCGTACTAAGATTGTATTCGGTCTCTATTACGTCCATTCCGTTCATATCTCGTTCGTCCCCGTTCTACCCCGTTCTTCAGAACGTTGTGCGAACTAGTTCAGTGTGAAGGGGATATAATATAATGGAAAGGGTGCTGTCTCCGATGATTGAAAAATTTGTAGCGTCGGTGCCTGTTTGTTTGGCATTGGTTCCTTCCTGTAGCGCCTTGAGGTGCACTACTGCAGTGGATTTGTGCGCTTTATAAATCTTATTATTATTATTATTATTATTATTATTATTATTATTATTATTATTATTATTATTAATATGTTTCATTACTTTTTTGTTCATGATGCGTAAGCAATAAATAAAGAAAAACACATCCTAACGAATTTAGGTCTAAATAAAATAAGAAAAATATCAATTGTTAGCCTACAAATTCTCGTTTTGAGGTACGATTCAATATTATGTTAATATTATTTTATCTTCTACAATTCAAAATGTGTGAGAAGAGCTACGAAATATCCATATCCATTAATATCAATTAATTACAGTTTTGAAATTACTAAATTTCTCACCTCCTTTCCGGTTTCATTCTTTTTCCTTTTTGTAAACTTTAAAATAAATAATAAATTACTTTCATTCAAAAATATGTGTTTGAACTCATTCAGATCAAAATATTATCAATATTAATATATTGTTTAGTTTTATAGTCTTTGTTTAAATATTAAATAACCCCCATATTCCAAACCTTTTTTATATTGGAATATATTTTAGGTAGCTGAAAAAGCTGCTGCAACAGGGGTTTAGTGGGCCTAAAAGTTGTTTCTGGCTTGAATCAACCACCACAGCTACTTGTTGGGATGAGTTCAGTAGGTTTTATTGATATGGCGCCTGATAGGCCCCTATGGCGATTCACAATCTTTTTATTTTAGAGAATTTAGTGTTAAAACACCTTTTAGGAGAAAGAATCTACCCCTTATGGAAGTAAATCGTGCTATTATCATTATTCATTGCGTATTATATTTATTTGTGCGATACCTTCATAAAACTACTGTACATTCAGTATAATTGTTATATGTTTAACTGTTATGTGTTTAACTGGAGTATTTTAAATATTTTAAACATTTTTAATATTAGTACTTTTAATTATTCTGTACATTTCAAAGTTTTCTTAAGTTTGCAATAAAGTTATTTTGAATCTTTGAATCTTTCTACTGCTTACCTTTAAAGATTTTGATCT